GGCAAGGGGGGCCCCGCCAGAGGCCGTTCCCGAAGCGAAGCCGCCCAGGGCCGAAGCGCCGTCGGCCCTGCGGCCGGCGGCCGTGGAAGCGGTGTGGGTCCCGTGCCCATCCATGTCGCGTGGGGACCGGTAGTCGAGGGAGTGGTTAGTCAGCGGGCCGTAGAAGGCTTCGTACCCCTTGATGTAGTATCGGGCGCCGATGATTTTTCTACGGTCGAGGAAAAACGGAAAGTGTGACTCGAGAAAAAAAGAAAGAAAGAAAGATGCAAATCATTGGCTTTTTTCTTTTTTCCTCAAACGGTAGAATTTTATAAAATTCAAAAATAACATACATTCGAAATGTCAACTGACATCACAATTCGCGATGTCAACTAACACCACAAGTACCAATATGAAGTTTGGACTCATTATTTTTCATTGGGATTACGCACAGACAACCAAGGAGAACAACCTACTACCAAAACAGACAACAAAATTCCGAACACTGGAGACTATAATTTGAACAAAGCCGGGACTTTAAAACAAAAAACACAGGAAAATAGTAAACAAAACATTATCATTGTCATTTGGTGGAAGAAAATTGTTCAAAAATGAAAATAATTATGGTCTTGACTGGGCTGGCTAGGCCATGTTTGTCTTCTTGTATATGTAAGAAATTGGGGGAAAACGGTGCGGACCCACTAATATGAAGCGCACCATGAGAGGGAAAAGCCCATATGAAGCCCAAGTGAGGTTCCATCCCAAAACCAATTGGTGTAAGGAGGAGAGGCCCACTAGACTTATAAGGTGAGCCTATTTTCCATGTATGAACGATGTGAGACAACTCACAAGTGATATTCTAACAGTATATATGTCAGTGGCCTCTCTCTAGCCCTCTACTAGATGCAAATGCAAGATATTTTTATGTGTGGAGTCATTTCATGCATGATGAAAATGTGAATGTTATGTGTTCAAATCATGATGTTCAACAACAAATCGAAGGGGCTCCGCTTGTGAAACTATACTAGATTATCTCTACCTGTACAAAATTAATCATTAGACGGGTCGACCCATTAAAAGAAAGTATGACCGTTTGGTTTGGTCAGGCTAATGTGAAAACTTGGTTTCCCACATCGAAAATGGTGTACTAAACTACCAATTCACGGGCTATTGGTAAGGTCTATTACAGTGAAATTCCAGAAAGTAGTAGAAAAGAGAGGTCTTAGCAAAGGTCACAGGATTAAAAACTCACGGGCAATAACTATACGTGACAGCATACTTTGCTTGTCTGATTGAAACAAACAAACGTTGGAATTCATCAAAACAACAAATTAAGACAAATAATTCACCATGTAACGACACCGATGTGGGACAACAAATGCTGGGCTAATAGTATCTCTCTGATCTTCTGGAATATTTTTGTGTCCCCAATTAAAATCCATTCAAATAATAAAGATGAATATTCATTTTATGGAAAAGAAATTACACCCCTTTTTGATTTTTCCAGAGACGAATATTCTGTAATTATTTTTTTCATCTCTGTTCTAAAAGACTAAACGAAAAGGTCAACTCATGTAAACGAAAAATTCTATAGAGCCAGCTGTTGGACTGGAAGTGTTTACGACTTACCTATTACAATGCGACGAGTCGAACGCATCGCCAGCTTGGCAAGTCCCTTTCCAAGATTTCGGCACGGGACCCATGTCTTTGTCGTTGAAGCTTTGAGACTCGGGCCACACACCTATATATCGATCGAGCATGGAATTTAGTGTCGAAAGGAGGAATTGAGATTCGTGTTCAACTATCAATATTATTCAAACATATCCAAATCCACCATCACATATTTATTTTTTTTTTCTCATCATTCATTTATTGAGGTGGAATTTAAACAAATATAAACCCGCGATTCTTGAAATTCATGCTAAGTTAAAATTTCCCTTTATTATCACTTTCATTTAATATACAAGTTTCACATGCCAAATAGTTAAAAAAATATATATAAAAAAACATTTCTCACTGACAAACAACACTATAAGAAAATCCGAGCATGGGGCATGAGATTTTTCCGGACAATAAACTATCACATGCAACATTAATTAGTAATTGAATTGAACATATATAGTTAAACTATAATTGGTAAGCATAAAAGTTAGCTTATAAGCTTCGTGGTTCTTGTATTCAAATAAATTTGGCAGAACTTCTATAAAACCAACTGTCTGGTTTTCTTATAAAACCCACAACCAATGAGAGAGCTCCAATGTGGGCTGTCCCACATGCTCTCATGTGGGACAACCCCACATTGAAGCTCTCCCATTGGTTGTGGGTTTTATAAGAAAACCGACATTTGGTTTTATAGCAAACTTGATAAATTTGGTTCGGTAATACAATTTTTTATTTTTTCTAAAAAAACTAGAGTTTATCTCATAAGCTTTTCTTGAGTAGCTTTTCAAATAAACCAATTGAATATTTTATTTTAGCTAATTTTACCAATACTTTTATCACATAAGCTAGCTTTTTAGTCATAAGTTATAAACTATCAGCTAAAAACTCGACATTTATTTAAAAGTTATAAGCTAGTTTATCAACTAGCACTACAAAAATATATTATATTCCAACGGGAAATCCTGCGATAATATATTCCAACGAAAATTCCCACGGATATTCCAATGGTATAGCGTCCGTTGGAATCATTCCAAAACGAAATTTTCAACGGAACTATTGCGTCGAAATGAATTCTCATTAGAATTTCAGATGAAATTTGATGATTCCAACTGCTATTTTTTCAATTGTTTTTGTCCGTTGGAAAATCTGTCGTTGAATCTTCAAAATCCAACGGAATATTTTTGTTAGAATTTATGTTGGAATTCCATTAAAATGTATTTGTATTGGAACTTCCGTTGGAATTTGATCATTTTGTTGTAGCATACGTTTACCAAATATAGCCTATCGATTTATTAAGAAAACAAATTACCACTGTCCAACATGCCGATGATAACATTCTTGCCGTATCTGGATTTCAATAACATGTAATCATCCTTGTCCAATTCGCTCACTTTCTTCGACTCTTGTAAGCCGGAAAACTCCCACGATCTCGTCGTGTGCATCGAATACTTCTCCGGATGGCTCCGGAACACGGACACCACTTCATCCCTTTCTGTTAAACAAATCCAGACAAACACATGCTCATTAAGACACACATACAAGAACATAACCAAAAAAAAAAAAGAGTTCATTTTTCGCTCACCCGACAGCTTCGAAGCTTCTTGTGAGGTAAGAAAAGCGGCGAAGCCATTAATGCTGTGCTTGTAACTGTAAAGAAGAGAAGATTTTGCATATTCCTCTGTTTCCTTCACAGAGGACAGATATGAATGATGGTTGTCTTCAATTTCTTGAGTTGTTTTTTCTCCACTATGCTCTCCAAAGTAGACTATATATACCTGTAAATAGATATTATTATGTTTTTTTTTTTTTTTCTTCATTATGTTTGTGGAAGATGCTACGGTCCTGTTACGGAACCATTTCGTTGGGATTCGTAATAGATCAACTATTTCTGACGGTTACATGATGATCTAACGGTTACAAATCTGGTTCCATAACGGGACCTTAGCATTTCCGTATGTTTGTTGTAAGAATTAATAGAAAATGCAGTTTAAAAAACAAGAAAGGCATATAAACCTGTTTGTCCTCTGTAGATAAAACCAGAAAAGGAAGGATTAGAAGAAGAAGAAAGAAGAGAAAAGTGGATTGCTTAAAATTCTCCATTGGTGAGGAAAGAATGAGTGTGGTGTGAAGGATATTGAGTTGATATGGCTGACTATTTATAGAGATATTTTTCAATTGATTCTTTTTGTGTTGAGTGTGTGTATAAAGTCTTCTGCTTTTAGGTGATTTGGACACAATTGGAGTAGACATGTCCCGGGTCAAACCGGTCCGGCCTGAACCGGCCCTGAACTTGCCTCCTAAGGGCCGGTTCGTTGAACCGAACCCTTAGGGTCGCGGCTGGTTCCATTTCTTTTCATTTTTGTCCTGTCGGGCCGGGTCGGGTCAGGCCACAGGTCGGACGGCGGGCTGCATTGTTAATTTTTTTTTAAGGGCCGTATCAGAACGTGAACCGACGGGTCAGTGAACAGGCTCTTGGTTCTTAGCGGGACGGTCGCGAGCCATGTATTGGAGCGCCCGTGGCCCGGCGGGCCGGGCTGGGCCGAGCCTCGACCCCTTGACTGACCACCTCTAAATTGGAGTACTGATAAATGATACGTATAATTTTCATTGTTTATTTATTTATTTATTTATTTATTGGGGTACTGATAGAATGATGAGGTAATAATTGGTGCGAATGATATAGTCTGACCACTATTTCTAAATTTTAAAATTACAAATTTGTGTGTAGGCAAAATTTGGGATATACTATTTGAACAAAAATATAATACTCAAGAGCGCTTGGATGAGATGACTTGGGTCTCTTCTAGCTTAACCAGTGGTCTCGTGTTCGAGCCCTGGGAATGCAGCAGTGCAACAGTGTTAAAACTCTTGAAGGAGAGCTTTGCCGCCCTTGTGGTCCTACCCGGCTCGATTCCGGATTAGTCGGTTCCCCTGTAGATCCGAAAACCGGAAAGTCCCTGTACCAAAAAAAAAAATATAATTATTTTTATCAAGCGTTAAATTTTCATTTATATATACTAGTAAAGTGCACGTGCGATGCACGTGATACCTAATTTATATTGTAACATGTTTTAAAAATATTATATTTTATGTCATATGTTTTATGGTCGGTTTAAGTTTTTGCATTATTATTTTCAGTGAATCAAACAAAAGAGTACGTTACATGATGAATTGTATCAAGTTTATTGAAATTTGAGAAACAAATTTAAAGTTGCATGACAAATTTGGTTGACAAACTTTCATTATCTAAGTTAGTCTTGTTTAGAGTTGGTCAGAAGTTAGTCTTGTTTGGTAAGACCGGGCAGAACTGAAACGAATTTCGTTCCCGCAAAGAGAAGAAGTTTCTTCCGAAACTCACTACCTAGTAATAGAACCCCCCAGAAAGAGTACCGAGGAATGTCATGTGGTGGGCCTTTCATTATCTAAGTTAGTCTTGCACATGGTCTATATCGACTTTGAGAAGGCCTATGATAGAGTACCGATGAATGTCATGTGGTGGGCCTTAGAAAGAACAAAGTCCCATCTAAGTACATTACCCTCATCAAGGATATGTACAAGGATGCGATGACGTGTGTCCGAACATGTGGGGTACTTCCCAATTAAAATAGAACTACACCAGGGGTCAACATTGAGCCCTTATTTATTTGACTTGGTGATGGATGAGGCCACAAGGGACATACAAGGTGATATCCCTTTGTGTATGCTCTTTGCTGATGATGTGGTGCTAGTTGACGAGAGTATGACAGAGATAAATAGGAAGTTAGAGTTGTGGAAGGACACGTTAGAGTCGATAGACTTCAGACTTAGTAGGACGAAGACCGAGTACATGACGTGCGCTTTCAGCATGGCTACACATGATGATGGTGACATTAGTCTTGACGGGCAAGTGGTGGCCAAGAAGGAGACTTTTCGGTATTTAGGATCAATGTTATAAAAGGATGGTGGCATTGATGAGGACGTTAGGCATAGAATTGTAGCTGGTTGGTTGAAACGGCGTCAAGCTTCGGGCGTTCTCTGTGATAAGGGGTGCCACAAAGGCTAAAAAGTAAGTTCTATAGACGGCGATTCGCCCGGTGAAGCTATACAGTGCTGAATGTTGGCCTACAAAAAGGCAACATGTCAAACAACTAAGTATAGCAGAGATGCGTATGTCGTATGTTGCGTTGGTTTTGCGGGCACACAAGAAGGGATAGCACCCGGAATGAGGAGATTCAAGATATGGTCGGGGTGGCTCCAATTGAGGAGAAATTGGTTCAACATCGATTGAGGTCGTTCGGACATTTCCAACGAAGGCCTCCTGATGCACCGGTGCGTAGGGGAATTTTACAGCGGGTTGAATGTAAATAGAGGTAGAGGTCGGCCTAAACTCACTTGGGAAGAGTCGGTTAAGAAAGACCTTAAATATTGGAATATCTCCAAGGATTTCGCGGGGGATAGGAGCGCTTGGAG